GGCACCATTGCGGTGGTGGCGCAGTGGTTTAGTCGCTGTTACAGGTGCGCTTTGGAAGCTATGGTGAGAGGTTCGAGTCCCACCACCGCCACCCAACTTTGGTATAGGCAGCTTTGCTATCGTCCGCCTAACCTGTCGGGGCCTTATTTGGTTCACCACTCCGAGTCCCGGGGCTTGGTTTACCGGTTTCCATCACTGAACGGCAGGTCTTCGTAACTATGGGGTTTACTCCGTCTGCGGCAGCCGTAGTTCTCTCTTTCTGAGGTCACATGCCGTAAAGTAAGCGACATGCCAGGGTGGCATCTTAGTGCACGGTGCCAAAAACAAAGAATGATTTATGGATAGTCAGTTCAGTTTGAACAATTACTAAGCATACACTTCCGTGCGTCGTTTTAGGTTGCTCTCTTATGGTTTCCCATTTCGATGAACATTAGGAGAAAAACAGAAAAGGTTGAAAGTAGGATCAAAGAGAAAATTTAGAACTTCAGTGGACTAATGTTGCGAAGAAATTGAGAACGCCACTGTTTACGACACTCAGTCATATCATTCAGTGTTTCCAACTATCGGTTACGATTATCCCGAGGTCCGCAGCCAGGGAGCCTAACGAGACCTATGTGACCCAGACTCCTGGCAAGGGTTTTCAAACCCTCATGCCAGGTCTTAGCTTGACCATCATTGGCTTTATTCCACCCACTATCTGCCTGGGAGAGCATCGCTCTACGTGGTAACCTATTTGGTGGCATGCGTAACCATGCCCCAATCAACGCAATCTATGGAGGTCAACCACCTGCTCCAGTGGGCAACCGCGGCTGCCTAAAACTCTGCGCCTAACCTCAGCATTGGTATGGATAGTACCAGGGGAACTTGAATTTGTGTAACTACTTCTAGGGAAATCAAATCCGAACTAGATGCTTTTTCTACCATTGAAAAGTAATCGGTATGGGAGACCAACACCAGGTAGGGGGATATAATCTCTTTCAATACTGTTGAACGTGACATGAGATGACCTGTACGTATTGACCGCCACCGCCTATGGGGTTGAAAGGGGGGTGCGAAGAATTGGAGCGCCTTCTCGGAGGGAATAAACGCTATTTGGATGGGGACAAGTAGCCCGCCAGTTAGAAAACACTTTTTTAACACGAGTAGAATATCGCTTAGGCTCGGTGGTTTACTTCAAGTCCCAAGAACTAGACGTGTGTAAATGAGGAGTAGGTCCATTCAATTATGTGGAGTATTTTGTTCTGTTGTTGCTCACGATAAAATGCATAAAAATATCAATTATTATCACTGATGATGATAGCAATCGGAGAATAGTTTTACCTGGATTGCGGCCTGACGACTAGCGGAGGAAGCTGTCAGAGCAATCAGGGGGAAGGCCTCAACGGAGATAGAATGCCGTAGAAGAGTCCTGAAAACGGAGGGTGAAGGGGAATAAAACGAAGCAAAAGTGTGACAACGAATAGTGAAGTTGCATTTGTGAACGGAAGACAGTGAAGAAACACGTGTATTCTACCGCATGGTTTGCACTCTGGATCATCTTGATAAAACCAAAACTTCTCACAATACTTCATAAGCGAACTACCCGCGCTAGTTGACTAACATAGGAGCATAAGATGCGAATTCATACGATAGCAAGCAATCTGGATTATTCAGAGGGGCTTCTGCATATGCGTTCGAATTTCAACAAAAGAACATTTTTCTCGCTTGGTGACATCGATTTGAACGGATCGTGCTCATCTGCGGGGGATACCGCGCCTAAAAATCTCATACACCCTTTTCTCACATGTCCGCTTTTATCCTTCAACTCCAAAACCACACAAGATGCCTGCCACTCACGGGATATAACTCAGCGTTCAGCTAGTAAGGTCAACCAATCAGAACGGATAAGATAGACGAAACCAAACTCTGTTCTTTAAGCCTCGTTGAACGTCCGTGATTTTTCACTTTTCAGTGTGATGAACAGTAGACGGGGTAATCTCCATAGTCACGAGGACCTGCTGCTCACTGTAGGAAACAGGTAACCCAAGCCCCGGGATGTGGAGTGGCGAATCACATAAGGTCCCGGCAAGTTAGTTGTGGTATTGAACTGGACGACAGTAAAGCTGCCTACCAGCAAAGTTGGGCGGCGGCGGGACTCGAACCTCGGATAAGGAAAAGTCGCGTTTCCCTTACTTTGTTCTATTTCTCCATTTATATTTACTTTTATAAAATTCGAATTTCCAAACTTAGGCGTAAAAATCACATTTTGTACCATCAGTCATGCTCGCTCCTGATTGATTCAAACCCCGCCACCCGGTCTGGAACGTGGTTCGTGATTGTCCGGTTGCTATAATCATCGTGAGCCACAACAGTCCGTTCACTTTATCAGGGCAGTCAACAAACTGCCTTAACAAGAACCATTTAGACGTAGAGATAGAGTAGACTGTGAACCAATGCTCTTGCTACCAAGAAGCCGCAAAACTTCTGTGCTGTGATCGTACTCGTGGAGCTAGACGACTAGTGTGGCCGTTGAGGTACGTGTGTTCCTTGTGTGTGATCGTGTGATATCTTGTGCACATTGTGATCAATCGAGATATGGACACAACAGTCAACAAACTACCTTAGCTAGAACCATTTAGACATTTTAAATTTAGACGTATGCTGTTTTCGAAACACGAATACAATAGGCGGTTATGACAAATGACGGTAGCATAGTTAAGGAAGTAACCCTCCAGGCTGGAGCAGCTTACGCAGGACTGAAACACCTCTGATGCAGACGTGATATTCGGTTTCTCTTGTCTATGCATCCTTTTCTATCGCGTATTACATAAAGCTCATGTACCGGATTCATCAACTGAGTAAAGCGTACAATTCCGACTCCGAGACTTCTCCATTCTGCACTCGTTTGCTTGATTCGTAAAACGTGACACTGTTGAAACTGAAAGGTCGCGTATACCGCACCAGTGTGGCCAGTCCTGTTTTACGGCTGCGAGGCCCTTAGTTTGCGCATGTAGGATATTCGTCTTCGACTTACGGTTTACAAAGTTTGGAGTGAGCGTGTAAGCAATGCTGAATCAAGTGGTCGCGTATCTGGTAATGATTCGGTGGAGAATTCGTTATCACATAGGATTCAGATGAGTAGGTTTCGCTCATTAGAGCACGTATTGCGTATACCAAGCTGTCATCAAGCTAACTACATTTTAATCGTGGTTTCTTCTCCAAGTTGGAAGAGAACACGTGGATATCAACAGATGACTTGGAAACGAGGTATGAATAAATGCACAGAGCGATTAGGTAGAGTATCACCATCATCGTACAGCGAAGCGAACTTCAGTGATCGTAATGCACACAAGACTAGTGGTAAAATTAAAGGTGGACAGGGATTGGACATACTTTGAGGGGGGGGGAGAAGATGGACCATTATAGTAAACACAGTGCAAAATCAAGCTCCACATACATGCCGTTTATTGGGTGTTCTGACCTGATAGGAAATGATAACAAGTACGCCACTACTGTCGGTTCGCTGCCATATCCTTCAATGTCTCCAACCAACCGGTTTTGGAGTCTTTTTGGCTCCAGCCTGGAAGGCGAGGGACAATTACGTTACCGAATGGCTGTGCTTTTTTTTCATGCCTCGTCTCCACGCAATCTGTTGACCCCCACGCGGTTTCCGCGTAGGACAACTAAAAAGAAATAAAGATATTTAACAGGCTAGACCTATAAGGCCCTCACATCAATAGATATTTTGTATTTCATAAAAGCCCACATACCAGTGGTCATTTTCAGGATGCACTGAATACTCCACGTGTTCCACCGCCTTCAGTACACCACGGAGATCCATATTGTGTGTGACAGCGACCATTTTCTTTCGTCTTCCATCAATGGCACTCCATTCAAGAGCTTTAAGCTGTCCAAGATTGGGAAACATCGGCCAGGAGGAATTGAACAATCTTAAGCTGCGCATCACACCGGACTGTTGATCAACAGAACGATTCACGACATCGATGTTCAAAACATTATTATTGTGAGGATTGGGATACTTGTTCTGTACGGAACGCATAACATCCTCCCATGGAGCTCTGAGTAAAACAGGAAAATCAGAACGCTAAGTGAAATATGCTTTTACTTGATCGTTGATTCCTCCTCCCAGCCTTTTCTTCCGCTGAGCATTTTTAATTAAATATAACTATGACTTCTAAATTTTATATGAAAACCGAAGAGGTTCTTGAAGGATGGGATAGGTGGCCACAAAATAGATGACCACGCCCCCGACTCAATTAGCGAAGCGCACGTAGCGCAAAAGGTAGAAGCGCGCGCCACCTTTTTCAGGTCAGGTCAGTTCAGTTCAGTTCAGTTTGAACAGGACAGAAAATGGCCACGGCCAATCGAGCGTCCAGAATTCCTTCGGTGGTATGCGGTCAAGTATGGCATCCACCACTG